AAAGTGATGCGTGTAATGAATGTGAGAAGCATTTAAGCTTAAAATTAGCTTGGATGTTGTAGTCATGATCGTGTTTTGAGCTATTAAATTTTATGAATGAACAAACTGAAAATAATAGACAGATAAGCCGTTTCTTGAAAATTTTTATTCAAAGTCCAAAAAGTTAATCCTTTACAGTAATTCGGAAAACACTATCTGGATCGTGGATCCGTTCACGCAAGTGAAATAAAGAAAAAGTTCACAGGTTCTTACACCGAGGTAAACCCTCAAATCGGGGCACATTTTGTAATTTTTCTCTTAAGCGCCGAAGAGAAAAATTTATAGAACGTCTCTGAAACATTTAAAAATACATAAATTCCCTTTCAAAAACGTAATTGCCTTGGCCATAGAGTGCAAAATGTACCTGAAAAACTTCACTGCCTTGGTTGCATTTCAAAACAGACCATGCGCTCCGTCGTGAAGAAAACAAGGTTGAATTCCTTGAAGAACGATTTCTTGATGAAAAGCTTCCCTTCCTCCACAAAAAGAAAGCTGAGCATTCTTTGGATCTTTCTCTTTCCATTTTTTGTTCTTTAACGGTGTATTTTAAACCTTGAAATGCAGAATTCTTGTCTTAAAACATCTGCATGGTGATCGCTCGGCAGCCATTTTGTTGAAAATGGATATCTGTCACCAAGGTTTCCAGTGGTAAAAGTGAATATTCACGAGCATTGAACGCGAGTTACACGTTTCAACCCCTTATGAGTTTCTGCAATTAATGAATGAGGCTGAGTATCTAATGAAGAATTATGGAGATCGAGGAGGTTGTGAGATCTCCATAATTCTTCATATGATACGAAAACCGAATTCAATAATTGTTTTATCATTCATTCAAAATAATTCCTAGTTTAAAAACATAGCTAAAACATGCTTACCTCCATCGATGTTAAGTTCATCTTCCATAGTGCACATTTAGGGTCGCTAAGAGCCGCAAATATTTCCCAAACAGCAAATGTCGCCCTTCGAAATGTCTTCTTACTATTCTTGCCATGTTTTTAGCTTTTATGTCACCTAGTTCTTACTCTTGAAACGAGTGAAATGTCGGCCACTTTTGTTTTCACAACTAAAACAACTCAACCTCGACCCTGGTTAATGCACCGTTAGCCGAGAATACCTATTGTAGCAAGGAAGCTGCACTTTTGACTTCGCTGGTTGAGTGATCGCAAAATTCTTTCAAATTTGGTCATCAGTAGCTGGTTATGGTGAATTATGTGTGTGCTTTTAGCCAATTAGAATCGGGGAAATATTTTGAATGAATAATAATTACACTTATCTAAGAAAGAAAATCAGTTAAAACAAATTCATATCATATCAACACTTGAATTACTATTCAAACCATTGTTAGATTGACATGACATCACGGAACCGACGGGAACCTTCACTGACCGACTGACTGGATTAGCGAGCCTAATATAGGGCTAACGTTAATATTTGTTTCAGCCAGAAAAGAAGCAATACAACGATGGACTTCACTACATTGTACTTACTATTATCCTTTTTTTCAGCTTGAGGATTACTCTAATGATGGCTTTCTTCCTAAACCAAGTATCAGAAATTCATCGTCCCCACCAATAAAATTCAGTGGTTTTCACCTCACCTCATCATTCTGCTAGAGTATATGTCCCACTATATTTTTATCATCAATTGTGATTAGTTACTTACGGTTTAGTATCGTAAGACACTCTGTTTTGTTTCCTAAGCCTTCCCTTGTAAAGGCAGCTACTTGAATACAGCCAGCAAATATGCCAGTGATGTTCGTCATACAGGTTGCAGAAAAAATCGTGGTATTTGCATCAGGCAGAAAGACAACGTAACCTTGAAGCAGGCCGTTTGGAAGACCTTCCAGGCTTTGCCATTGAACCGTGACAATTGAAGAGAAGTCTTGGTAAGCCAAAGCTTTTGGAGGCGGTAGTACAATAACATCTACGAAAAAGAACACCTTTAATCTTATTATTTCCCCCTAACTGAACGTCAATTACCTCAATGTCAGTAAGTTGTGGCGTCGATTCTTTTGGTAATGCCGTTATCACTCTGACACTTTCCTTCTTTCTTTAAACATTACAAACTTATTTTCCCCCTCTTTAATAAGCAACTCCGCTTACAATTGAAACGATTTGCTTTGCTAGTGTCATACCATACAGTCACTATATATCAAATATTCTTTGACTCAGAATGTGTAAAGCGTTTGACTGAACTGAATTGAATTTGCAGGATTGAATTCAGATCCCGTATGTGTAAAGCAGCAACGGTTTTTTTCGATCGATTTGTCATATTACGAGCCCATCATTTGAGGGGGAGGTAGAAAAGGTTAAAAAAAAAAACATGTTTACTTTAGTAATCTACTAATCCAATTGATCCGATTGCAAGTTCCAATCCCGCGCGTTGTAGCTTCGGGACACTGATGTGAAATATAAATTTCGTGTCGTTTTTCCTGTGGTGGCAAGGAAAGAAGACGGAAATTCTACAGCTTTAAAATCTTACCGTTACTGACAAAGACGCACTGTCTGGCTGGACCTTCCTCTTGGATGGTGAAGGCACGAACTTGGACACAGTAGTTTGAATTACGCTGTAAACCATTAAGAACTACAGCATATTCACTACTGTTGGTAACCATATAGGTTATATTCATCATAAAGTTGGATCCCTGTACAGTATAGTATGATATGCGGTATCCTACGATGGTTGCACCGTGAATGTAATGAGGAACTGGTTCCCATGTAATCTCATAAGATGTAGAGTTGATCTTCCGGGAACTTAAAATGACTGGAGCTCCGATTGAATCTGTAAATTGATTAACAGAATATGCGAGAGGTATTAGAAAGACATAAACGGAGGGCAGGTGAAAAATGCCATAGAGTGCAAAAATGTTATTTCTGACGAATGAGCCCGCGAAGAAGACAGAAATAAATATTTTGACGGCACGAGATACAACAGGGCCTGGGTACTAGGCCGGGTGCACCATGGGTAGCCATATCGGGGGTATATAAGGCTGCGTATATCACGTGTACGTCATCTAGGCTTACGAACCACCCTCTCTTTGGTTTTTCTTTATTTTTGTTTTATTTATTTTTAGGAGCAACATATTCTCGATGACATTGTAAAGTCCCGTAGGAAGGGCTTTGAGCTTGAGCCTTGGTTCCTACCCAGATTTCCTGCCCGCATTTTTTCCCTTCGGGGTTTTTTTGGGCAGGTTTTTTCTGGCCTCCGTCTGACCGCATTTACTTCAGTTTGTAAGCGGTAGCTCAGCTCTGCTAGTTTTCAGTTTTTTCCCGTTTCTTATTTTATGTACTTGTACAGTTATCTCAGTTTTGCACCTGCTCCTTTACTTGATATATTTAGTTTCTATGTATGTCTAGGTCAGCTGTCCCGGAACCGCTCTTTAGGAGGCGACATAAGTCTCGTTTGATGCAGTTAGGTTGCAGGCAATGTTACAGACTTCTAGCCAGGGTCGTTATCCATTTGTTTACTTTCAATGTCCTGCCCTAGCCTTTTATGGCAGCCTTACTGGTTATTGGGCTACGTGCCTTGTTGGGTACATTAGTGGAGATAATTCCCAGTTTTCCTGGCACTCAGCCTCTGTGCTCCTGAAGTGTTCCCGGTCCCAGTTATCCGTTGATCAGAGTTTTATTAAATTTCCCCAGCCTAACTGGCAGCCTAACTGGCACTAAGCCTGCGTGCTTCTTTGGGGGACTCAGGTCGAGATCGACCAGTTGTAGCAAATCTCTCTTTTGCTTAGCCTCTGTGCTCCTGCCGTGTTCCCTGTGCCAGTTATGCGTTGTCAGAGTTTTATTTATTAGTTTCCCCAGCCTAACTGGCACTAAGCCTGCGTGCTTATTTGGGGGATTTAGGTCGAGATCGACCAGTTATAGCAGTTTTTCTTTTTGCTTAGCCTCTGTGCTCCTACAGTGTTCCCTGTGCCAGCTATATGTTGTCAGAGTTTTATTAATTAGTTTCCCCAGAATAACTGGCAGCCTAACTGGCACTAAGCCTGCGTGCTTAACTGGGTGATTCAGGTCAAGAGCGACCATTTGTAGCACGAGTTTTTTCTTTTTGTGAAAGCTAGTTTACGAGTGTTGTACATTAGGTATTCACCAGTAATCACCTATTATTGTATTTACATAAGTACTTTGTAGGGTTGGTTCTCGCCAAGCCGTCCCAAAATAAACTTATTTGCCATTACGTTTTGTCTGTTGATGCTGTGTAGTGGAGTCAGAATTAACATCAGTACGAAGTGACTGAGATATGAAAAATGATACACACAAATAACGTTTCTATAAGGGGGCGGGGGGCGGGGGGGTATGCAAGACACTTAATTGAGACAGAAAAGTGTGACGTCAGAAAGGAAGATTTTTCGCAATCTTGCAAAATGGGTATCTTATAGTCGAAAACAAACTCGACATCCGTGTAATTCAGTTACGGTGCTATCGTGACTTGAAGAAGCCGTCGTCACAAGTATTTCAAAGAAATTCATTTTCAAGTTTGAAGTAAATGTTTCTATTAATGTTCTCCATTTCCAGGATTTGACAGCTTAATCCGTGTCTGCTCAATTTTCTCTTTTTCTTTTCTCTCTACACTTCCTTGACTTAATGTAATGACTCTATAGTACCTTCAACGGTTGAAACTTCCGTTACTTGTATTTCCGGTGTTTTGGCCATGATGCCTTGCGAAACTCATGTTACAATTTCATTCGGTCATATTGCCGCTCAGAATAAAGTAAAACCACACAGTTTGTATGTTACGACTCAGAATCTTTGCAGACTTTTGCTTAAATTTCACAAGCAGGAAAATAACTTTAAATCTGTGGAGACTTACAAAAACCCGGACTTACCTTTTTCAGTGCTGAAATAGAAACATTGGCTAACATTTCCGATACCTTCTTTTGCAATGACACCAATTTTCACACAGTACGTAGTAAATGACGAGAGATTACCAATTTCCGCCTCAGTAACATTTGGTCCAACAGTAAAATTTTTCACCAGTTCTTGAGATATACTGCCCACTCTGCGTTTTTTGCGTCCCTGTTTGAATACCATTACTCGGTAGCCTAACAAATTGGCATTACCAAAATAGGAATTCCACTGAATCACAAGTGAGGAAGGAGATGAATGTTTTGCTGTCATGTTAGACGGTGGATCCAATATGAATAATTCTAGACAAACAAATTAGCAAAAACTGACTGAAAAAAAAAATTAGCAACTTTACTGACTGAAATGCCCTTTAGAAATTTGGTCAGGAACGAAGCGTCATTAGTTCAGCGAATTCTTAATTTCTTTGGATTGCTGGATCCAAACCGACAAAGGTTAGCGGTGAGTTGACCAATATGGACGTTGAAGTTTGAGCTCCTCAAACTTTGATCATTTTACCTAGTTTTCTATTATATAGTCTCTTCTATTATCGCATTTCAAACATGCCCGAATCTACTGCAATTCTGAAGAAAGAAAACCAAGCCCTTAAGGCAGAAATTGATGCTCTATCGAAAACAGTTAACCGGCTTCAAGCAAAAGTTGACCAAGATGCTTCGTCTGGTGCCAACGCTAGTCCTACGCCTAATGAAGGTGTTAAAAGCCTTAAATTCATTAGTGACGGCTTTGATTACTTTAACTCGTTTAAAAAAGAAGCAGAAATGGAACTGAAGCAATTCAGTGTTGAACTGGTCAAGCTGAGAACGAAAGTAGACGCCATCGGAAAAGCCATTGATGAACTGCGAATACAGCTACAAGTTTATTGTTAAAGTCGTCGGGTTACCTAAGGTTGACGTAAGAGAATCTGCACAACAAACAAGCTCCTTGTGCGTTAGCCCGTCTAGGGCTTTGGGCGCTGATGTACCTATTAGAGACATTGACTCAGCACACCGTGTACCAATGAGACAAGCAAGTGGAGGGCCACGACCCGTTATTTGTAAATTTGTTCGCCGCCTTGCACGAGACAAAGTCATGGCTCGACGAAGGGAAGCTCGTAACATCAACCCTGCTATAGCCTGAATTTTGATGAAAATGCCGACCTATCAAAAATTGGAATCTTCGACCATCTAACGCCGAAAACCCAGGAATTTTTCTTTGAAGCCAAAAAGTTCAAAAACCAGGAATCAGTACCAATACTGCTGGACAAACAATTCATCAGTTTACCTTAGGAAGAACGCAGAATCCAGAGCGATCAAGGTAACGGATATTAACGCGTTGGTACAACTCTCCGCAGTTGTCTCCGATCAAGAATCCCAATGAACTTACAATACTACCCTACTATTAATAGTCAATATTCCAGGTAAAGTCTGAATGACTAATAAAACTGAAAAATCTATCTTTAACCCCTTTTCTTCCGTAATTTTTGTTTCAGAAATACCAATAACACTGAAACCATATTTCAATTCGTCCAGCAAATGTATTTGCAGATTTTTTAGGTTACTCCTAAACTCCTAACGCTGTTATGAAACACTGAACAGTTAGATTTGTTTGGCGAATATCGTTGTTTGTTCAAAATACTGAAGCTATACGAAGCTTAATAATGGCTTTGGATGCGTTGATTAAAGAGATTGGAGTCAGGGTTTATGTCTGCTTGGACATTTAAAGTAAATAAATCTAAATCATGAGTACTTGAAAGCTTCTCAAGATATTTTTTCGTAGATGACTCATCAGATAATAAGTTATTGAATTGTCCATGGCAATTTAGGATATTTACACCATGATACGGCAACTCTTTAAGGTTTGTATGGAGACGCCATGCTGGTGTATCATTGAGGGCCACAAATATGGTGGCCGGAAAGCAAAATAATCTGTCTTTAAGTTGTTCATAGAAGAAGCGTGAATTCGTCGCTTGGGGAACTCATAAAGACTTTTGAAGTAAGATTTATTCTTAGACAAGTTTAAGAATTTTTAAAAAAACAAAATTTGAAAAAAATCGGTAACATTTTTAACCTACATGGGAGCTTTCCCGGCCACCTTCTAAAGCCACGGCAAAACGGGCAACTTGTTTTGCGCACTACTGCAAAAGTGTCGAAAAGTGATGTTTCGCGTCTTACCACCCAGGTTCAAACCTGTCTTGCAACAAGTGTAGGTTGCTGCAAGTTGCATGAATACTGACTTCTGATTAGATACAATTACGCGGGAGTCACTCCAAACAAGGGATTTACGTCACTTACTGCAAAACAAGTTTGCCTTGGGCCGGTAAAACGCGCAACATGTTTAAATGTTAGTACAAAAAGCATAACTACTATCTACTTTCTGCAACAACTTTTCGCAACCTGCAGCATTCCTGATTTGCGGAAAAACAGGTTTGAACGTGGGTGGTAAAACGCGTAATAATGCAATGTTGCAAAACAAGTTGCACGTTTTTGTTGCCCGTTCACCGTACCTTAAATGCTTGGAAATTCAAGCGTCCTCTATCGGAAAACGAAGAACCCTTTCGAAGGAAAATTTGTATAAATGAAGGTTTTTAATTTTTAAAAAATCTCATAACGTGTTTTGAAAGTAAACACTCAGATAAATCGATAACTTCTTAGTTTGAATTTTTTTGGACATTATGTGAAAAGTGAGAGTGGGGTGTTTTACTCCCAACGAATCAACCCATTGATATAAATCGTGTAGTTTTCATTACTATTATCACATGCAGTTTAAATTACGCTACCTTGACAGCCATAAAGCTCCACCCTCATTGAAATCCAATGATTCCAACCCATTGGTCTGAAACGGATGTAGCGAGCCCTGATTGGTGGGTTCAGTTCGTGTTGAACTACTGTATCTCTGTCCCAGTTTCCAGAAAACTCCTAGTTTAAGATGGTTAAAGAGAATAAGCAGTTCTCCTAACATAACCAAAGGCAGATTCATCTTTAGAGAAATGATGCGGCTAATTAGAAGAGGTTAATTTGCTGACAATAAAGGAGAATTGTAACTGTAATATGTTGATTAGAAATGCACTCACAATTGATAGCGCTACTTTACAGCCCTTTCCACTTAGATAATGAGGAAAAATATCATCCAAATAGAACACAGCAGGATTCAAAAGAAAGGAAGCAGTCACAGTCGACTATTTTTTGCTCGGCCGAGGATTTGAAATCCGACACAAGGAGAAGCAAATACAGCTCCATCAACATAGCGAGTTCCAAAGGGCTGACCGTTCGGCCAAGCCGTATACATTATATTACAATTGACGACAAGTTATGAGAAGTTGACCCCCTGTTTTTGTTGTTGCTTTCACCTTTTCTTTGCTTTGCCCTTGTTCCCAGTAGTAATGGAAGCTCACGCCATCAGCACTGTACTGCAGTTTGTATCTTGTTACCCACTGATTTTGTTCATATCTGCCTTGTGTTGCTACACCTGTTACTGTGGTGTAATGATTACTGAGGTCAACTTGAAGCCATTGGCTTTCATCCTTCCTAAGAGCGGCCCACGCACCTTTTATCGGTCCTGTTGGTTTGTGGTTGAGTCTACCGTAAAAGGCTTTAAGATCGGTGCTATACTGTGACGAAGCACTAATTTGTTCATCTGAAATTAATCCGTTCTCCACACCAAGGGCTTCTGGGCACTCTAGGAATACACATGCAACGTTTAAAATCTTTCAGCACAATTGTAAAACCAATAAATAAATGTTCTAGTGAGAGGAGAGGAAAATAAATAGCAGACGATGAGATAACATCAAACAGTGTGTGTGGGAACAGGTAGGAAATTGTCCCCCCTGCGACAGCGCATGGTCGCAACACTAAGTAATTCAAGTAGAAAGCAGTAACTAATCAGTTTTCTGTAGGATTCTTGTTAACGAAGGGGGGGATTAAGTAACGTTATTAATGAAATGCGCTTCGAGAGTCAATAAATCGAAACCATGGATAATAAATGCAGCAAGAAGCAGAAGAAGTCAGTGGTAACTGAAAAATTTAGTGTTAATCTGTACGTATTTCTGTGGGCCAAGTTAAATTAGTTCTATCAACACTGAACACAACTTGCTTAACCTCTCTTCTCCTGTTTTCATTATTTTATAGTTTTCCTCCTCGAATTGATTCCCTTCTTCTCTTCCTCATTATATCGCCTTGCCCTCCACACCACCACTCCCAATCCTACCTCCGCAACATTTTTTTGTCTTCGCCGCACGAATCTCCTTCACTATCCATTTCCACTGACCCTTTCATCAAAATAGTCTACAATCACATTTCTATTGTGATAACATCCACAGTTACAACTATCACCACCATCATCATCATTACCGCCACATTTCTCTTCTTCCGCACGGCATCAGTTCTTTTTTTTACGCACCTTGATTGCTAACCGCACCTTAGCATACTTTTGGTGGTCTATTATTAGAGATTGTCTCAAAAAATGGGTAAAATGAAAGTAAGATTCGGCAAAGATAGGTAAAAACATTCATTTCGGGATGTGCTCATCTAGTTTACTAAAAAATAAAACATATGCTCCTTTTTTACGCGCCATTTGTTATGTCACTGAAGATCACTGACCAGTGCTGGTGTTATGTAAGGTTTGCTTTCCGTCGAATTTATTTTCCCTGGCTTCAGTTCAGTAATTCTGGACGCCCATTATATTCATGACGTCATGGAAGTTAATTTTCCCTCCCCTGGTTAACAAAATTCTGAAAAACGCCGTAAACGTTTTTTACAATACCACTGCAGTCAAAGTTGTGTATAGCATATGGATACAGAGAGATTACTGGTTAGATGTTAAAACACCTGACATTGTTAGATTAACATTATCAAAGAAATAATTCATACGATCGTCTAATATATAGTTACTTAAGAGCGATTGCTTAACATGCATACATGAGATGATTTGATCAAAGTTCGAACTGCCTTAACCGGAGAGTGGACAGTACTATTAAAATCTCAAATCTCCCGTATCTTACACCTTGCTTTCCCAGCTACTGCTCCCTTTTTCATGGCCTTTTCTCCCTTAATCCCTTTCTGAAGGCGAAAATAGGGGGTAAAAGTACAGTCGAACTTCCACTAACAGCCACTTTTTTGGCTGACAGTCCATACATTGACTCTTATTTAAATCTCTCTACAACAGCCAGTTTCTTCTGTCCTCAAGGCGGCCGGTGTGGAGAGGTTCAACTGTATTGCTACTTAATTTCCCCTTACTTCTCTAGCTTAACTCCCCACCCGTTCGTCTTCCGTCCCCGTTTCCCTGCCTTTACATCCCCCTGTCCTCCTTCACTTTATAGTCTGTATCTATATTTATGTAACGACTATACCTTTTACATTCACACCTTTAGTATAAAAAAAGTAACATTCGCTTAGGTCTCCATTGCCCATTTTGGTGATCAAACGAATTTGGACACAATATCTGGTAAATGAAGAAAGATTTCCTATTTTGAGCATTGTCACATTTGCACAAACATTAAGATTGAAAGAATCGCCTTTCAGTTGTGTCAAGTTCTGATCTTTGCTTCCTTGTTCTAGTACCAGTAAGTTGTAGCCTAGCAACGAAGCATCACCAGCATATGGCTTCCACTGAAGTACCACCGAGGAAGAGGTTATGTTGATTGCCGTGACGTTAGTCGGCGGGTATATTCTCACAGTAGCTGCGGGAAAAGAATAACAAAATAAATTACACAGTCAAGTGTCTTGGATTTTACTCCCTAAACAGTGTTGTAAAGGAGGATTACTGTTCATCAAAATCTTTTGTTTGCCCAGCAATATTTTGTACCGCTTACTGTGTATAACGATAAAAGAGCCCGAAACTTCTACACGCCTTTCAGGCAACTGCGAATAAGCGACTTTAACCCTCAGACCTGGCTCTTTTTTGCTTCCTACGACCGGGAAGGAGGCCTATAACTTCAAAACCGCTTATCCTACGGCGACTAACATTACACACAATAATGTACAAATCATTTTCAACCTCTGGGTAAAACTTGATTGACACAATGACGTAATCTGGCGTCATTATGACGTCATATTGCATATTGTTGAATTCACTGGCAGAATCCAAACTTCAAATGTATTCCATTTTACTTAAAACTCTTATAATTGGAGGTATTTATAACAGAAAACTTAATCTGAGTATAAAAAGAATGCTTAGGAGGGATTAAAAAAAGCACAAAATATGAAATTTCGAGAGAAATAAACACTGTTGATGTTTAACTCGCCATCTGCCATCTGGTCATATTAAACTCAGGTCTTTTCTGAAAACATACGTAGTCACTAAAAAGCCTGGATTTCGGCTCTTGAGTGGATTCTCGCGCTATCGCCCCAAATGTAGAGCTTGCTTGTATAGGCTTTCTTTCAAGTTATTCATGGCCGGGATCGAGGCTGATAAAAGAGAAAATTCAGAAACTCTTTTCAGAGTTTTGCCCCGCTAATACTAGATTATTGTTCGCTATTTTCACTTTATTACCTGCCATATAGAGTACTAAAGTGATGACGTCGTAAAAATGAAATTTCTGAAATTATGGTTTGCTCGTAACCTCATCAAAATTGAAACATAAGAAATACCTATTGTGCTAACTTTTTTATTATTTCTTGAGGTATTAGAGCCGGTTAGCACTTACCTTTTCATAAATTTTCAGTTCGAAAGGTTTCTTCGTTTTGTGATGGGGTGCGCTTGAATTTCTAGGGTCTTGACTGCCGCGACATTGAAATGGCACTGAGTCACGGAGGATTTTATGTCGATTTAGATAAAATGACTTCATAATAAATCACCCGGTCTTCATTGCTGGCGCTTTTGTTAGGAGGGGACAGTAGAGGGCTAGACGAGTGCAAGCAAGCGACGAATTGTTTCCCATTTTCTAGTTCTGCAGGATTTGCGTTTGGTTTTTTTAGTTGTGAAGGTGGGGAAGGAGCGCTAACAAAGGGGATGTGAAGCGCTTATACGAAGGTCTATCATAGAGTATTTTTCATTGTACCTCCATTACAGCTACTTGAAACCCCTCTTCCAAATGTTGTGTATCCATAGACTTCCACGCAATAAACTTGCTCTGATTTTATTCCTTTTATCAATTCCCAGAAAGGTGGCTCATCGGAATGTCTCCAAACACCCAACGAATAATTTCCTGGGTCGATGACGTCAATCTCGTATCCCAGGAGAGTATAGCCACGAAAATACGCAAGCAAAGGACTCCACGCAACCTCTAACCCATCCGCAGAGAACCAATAAGAGACATTTTCAGGTGCACGGGTAGGGACTTCAAAGAAAAAAGCAATTTGTGCTTCATAAGTGGGACTTTTAACCTACGCACTGTAGCCAAGATGTTACTGAGTGAGGGTTTTTACCTTTGCAGGGAGTTGTGGTTTTTGCAATATAACCTAATTTTATCTTCTTGTTGAAAACTGTTATAATTAATAATAATAATAATAATAATAATAATAATAATAATATAAATGAAAATAACAGTTGATAATAATGTTAGCTTATCGAGTTTCTTTTCCCATGCATAGAGAATTTGTATAAGCCAAGGGAAACAATATTGGCAACGAAGCTCTGATGACTGAAGAGCTACAACAACAATAACACTAACAGAAGCAACAAGTCTTCTTTGCACGACTAGAAAAACGTATAACATCACAGTAGTGCAAAATCCACTAAATTTAACTCTTTATTATATTATTACTCAGTAATTTAACCTTCTATAAAAAAAGGAAGGGAGGAGAAAAAAATCAATAATTACTTATTTTTAACTATTCATAGGAGTTGTTTTGCCGGGTTAAAGTTTGTCTCTTTAATCAGAGAATGATAAGATAACAGAATTAATTGGATGTTTTTAAAACAGTCAGTAGTGTAGAAAAAAAACTTAAAAGGGTCGCACCTCTTTCCAGGTAACTTTTTCCATAAATCTCCATTCTAAAACAAGGCATTTCAACCCAATCTGTCGGCCACAGAGTCACGTATTTTGCCACAACTCCAGACTCTAGAATGGCGTTCTTTTTCACAGCATATCTGTTGTTGTTAGCCTCGAATATCTGAAGCGGATGGAAAGTCCCCATTAAAATTTGGATAAGTTTGGATAGGTTCCACATAAAACACATCAGTTCATCCTATACCTCAAACTCTACCACATTTGACTTTCCAGAGCTAACACAATCCTTTATCAAAAAAAAATTCTGTTTCAACACCATCCTACAAAAGCTACGTTTACGTACCCGACTGGATGGAATAAGGTGTGTCTGTTATAGGAAATTAAACTGCTCCTGTATTAACAATCACTAGAAAAAATTAGAAATCTATGCCTTTCAGAAAGTCAGCTATCCCTGCTACAACAAAAAATTCATATGTTACGCCAATGTTCAGAGCTAGCGATCATCTCAACGTTGGCTTTTACAACTCACTAGCATTCTGCCTGTATTGTTTATTAAGGTACTCGATCGCGAACGCCATGTCCATTTATCAACTTGCGAGTAACTAAGCTAAGCGATTATTCCAGTACCAACTCTTGTGAATCTTCCGTACTTGAGTTCTGGGCTAATCTGTTAGCTAACACGAAGAATGGTCTTGCGACAGGACAATTTCTAATCGATTTCCTAAAACTTGGCTTTTGAACTGGTTGACAATGGGGTCTTGCTCAGGGAGTTTGCAACTTACTAACTCTCAGACGCATCACACTAGGCGGTTCACGTTATATGTTGAAGGGCACCGACAGAAAGTTAGCGTCAGTAGTGTATTACCCAGCTCCCTCTCAGTGACATTCGGAGCTCTACAAAGCTCTATTTTAGGTCCGCTCTTGTTTATCGTTTTCATAGTTGATGTACAGTTATATCCCTTGTCGACCGCTTTGGTCGTTTCGGTTCCATATGGAAAATTGCATATTTTCTTTCCTGGAACAATTTTAAAAGCTTCCCGTTTAAGCCATTTGGCAAGCAGCGAAAACAGCAAAGATTCATCTTTCTACAGGTACTTCATTTTACACATTTCGAAAAATCCTGACACAGTTACACACAAAAAGCCAATTAACATTTTGGGGAAACATCCACTGCCAATTTTGCTATTGACCTACTTCTTTTTGCAGATTTATTTTGTTCCTTACCTGGAAAGTTAGCCAGCCACAGTTCCACCCGAAAGAAAAACCGTAAAGTGAGCAACAAAACTCGAGAAAAAAAAACATCGAAATATATTTGATTAAAAAAATGGCTTGCACGCATGTGATAAAAGGAATAAACAAACAATCAAATAATTCCTTGATAGGACAATTGCAAGATGACATCATTTTACTACAACTGCCAGAATAATTCAGTTAGTTGTTGTTTTCTTGTGCAAATAAGGGCATTTTTTTATACCTCAGTGGGATTGACAAATTTAAATAAGAAAGCAAAATGAAATGAATTCCGGTAGTTGAAGTAAAATGTCGTCATCGTGAAAGTTGTCCAATACACACATACGACGTAAGCATGAAAGAGAAGTCTAAGTGACACCAGATTTTCCGCAAACTTCAAAAAAAGTAAATGGGGCGGGGAAAACAAGAAGAATTTGTGATTTAAAATTAACCTCAAAAGATATTCCTGGAGTAGTAATAGTAAATGAACAAGCGTTGGAAAGTGGACAGTGGAGAAACTAACTTTGGCAAGGATCCTTCGGAAATACATAAAAAAGGTTGTCTTTCCTATAATCGGAACGATTATTGCAAAGCACAGGATTTGTGAGAACTATTTTTTGTCGTTGTTTTAGGGTGCTCGTCTGCCACGTTATACAATTTAATTGCGATGTGACCCTTAGGCCTCGCTTTAATACGTCGTAGTGTCAGTATATAAAGCAAAGCTTGCCTTTCAGTGTTAGATCATAGAAATTTCGTTTAGCCATTCCCTTGCTAATTCACCGACAACCGATCCAAAAAGAAAAATTTGGTAAAAAGGCGGATCAGTTGCTGCTAAATGGCTGTCGCCAAAGGCTTAAATATATTACATAGTTACGCGTTGTTTCCTTTAGATTTTTTACGTGTTCTGTGTTAGAGGGGTTTGAAAATTCTGACTATTAAAATAGGAATTGTAATTGTACCATCAACGACACAAACCTTTATGTTTCCATTTTCCATATAATAGTCGCCTTTGGAATATGATGCAGCAAGCTCAATCGTGTATTCGAGAACATACCAGTCTTTATGAGAGTGTCCCTGCGTTCCAATGGCGCAAATGAAATGACTTGATCGTAGGTTTACTCTAAGATAAGCATCAACGCTTCTGTCAAAACACAATCCTCCTGAAGAACTCAGGCGAGGAGAAAGCGTGTCATTTCCGACAAACTGTTTTTTATAAGCTAACGAAGTTTCTGGAATCGCTAAATTTTCCATACCAAGGGGACGGTCTGAACAGTCTTGCTGGTTGTAATCTGTGATTCAAACGAAACTTTCTTTTTAGTTTTTAGTTGGCGCAAATGCTACAATATTTGAAATAATATATCAGGATTACCTATAATAAAGACCTCTCCGAGGCGAGAAAAAAAAAACAAAACATGAAGCTCCTGTCAGTCAGTGGACTGTTTACAGTCCCTTATTCCGTAAGATATACGATTCGCGAACAAGAGATAACTTTACGGGCAGGGAGTTGTTTGTGAACGTACTGAGAGTAGGGTGTCAGGGTATATATCGCCTTCGTCCGCGAAGCTTTGCAACCCGACGCCCATCCCTGGGTATACATTTGTGGATAAAGTGCTCTTACATGAAAACAGAAGACTTTAAAGTGCGGCTTAAGGTAAGTACTTTTTTTGATTTATGGGTAATAATTCCTTTCGTATTAATTATCCTTTCATGCTCTATCAATCCTTCCCTCTCCCCAAAAAATCGCTAGGCTGACTTACCCTTTCTCTTGCACAGGAAATCAGTACATTGAAATGAGCAGGACATCGCTGTCCATGATTTATTTTGTTCAACATATGCAACACATTTGACGTCTGGATTACCACTGCCCTCAAAAACATTCAAAATTGTGAAGTTGACTAAAGAACCATCTGTCCACGTGGTATTAATGCCTTCATTTCGTAATCCAAGCCACGCACACTGAGAGCCTGGATTCAATAAGGAAGCTGCTAACTGATTTTCAGGTGGAGTGTGAATTGAAACTAATTCAGAATTTTTATTAAGACAGTGGTTATTGGCATCTTTCCATGAGTTATTCTGACTGAATGCTCGATAGCAATGGCCACCATAACAGCTCCATCCATCTGGGCATACTGTAAAGTAAAAGAAAATTTTAAAACCATATAGTAAACAACCCAAGATGACATTCCAGCCCTGGAAATAATATGTTTTAATTATGTCAAATGACTCAATGCAACGTCAGATTAATCAGGGAAAAGTCCATAGTCATATATATGTGGTATCAGCTATTTGCACAGTCTCGGTGGAGAAAAAAAAAAGAAAGAAAAAAGACAAGAAAAACAAACACATTTTTTTCTATTATAGAAATTACTGTGAAAGATATTTTCTCAACTCTTAATTCGTATTGGACAAAAAAATGCACAAAAAGAAAAGTACAATTGGGCAAAAAGATGGGCAAAAGCTAAAAAGACAAAACGCGGTGCAAATCGCTGCACATGCAATCCTAAGAGGTGAGAGTGTATTTTACAATGCTTGATATTCTTGGTTAGATTGTTTTTTACGTTACACCGAAAACTGAAGCCCAGAGTACATCATTAATAAATAAATTGATTAAAATAAAAAAAAAAAACCCTCAAACACAGCTAGAATTGGGCAAAACAGAAAAAAAACCACAATATTCTTTTTTACCGCCGTTTGGGTGGGGCTTCATGTAAACCTAACTACACGTTCAGTGTATGCAAATTTTCGAGAAGCTGATGCATTGCACGTGCAAAACGTGCAGAGAACAAAAGATATTGCAAAAGTTGACTTTACATGGAGCACCAACCCAATTGGGAAATCAGGGAATTTTATGGTATTTTCCGCTTTGGCCAATCAATCATTTCATCAATCAGTTAATCATTTATTTTGACACGTTACGTCTAGGAGCTAAAAGCTCGTTCAAAATACGAACGTGAATACAGTGGCACAGTCCTGTAATCCATTTCCATTTCAAAGGTGACGTTTAAAAGGAGAAAAGTTGTCCCAAACAAAAAGGGTCACCAGCATACCCGAGCTAACCTGGACGAACCAACTTTGAATATATTTCCTTACAAAACATGCTGGCTTGGCTAGAAGGCTGAGCCCCCTCGGCGGGTCACCCTCCTAGCCGAGCCAATTTTTTTCTTCTCTTGTTAACGGTTCGCCTCGTTTTGTAAGGAAATGTATTTTTCTCTATACAAAGGCCTTGGCGCACCCAGCTAGATCAACTCTTTAAGGCGAGACAACCAGAGCATTGGCTCCTGGAGAGGGGTTAATTTTTTTCTCATATAAACGCTCACTAAAGTGGACACAGTTGGAGGGTGGACCCGTCTACCCAGAACATTTTTTCTCCATATAGACGAGGCCTCAGGCCTCAGCCTTAAAGGTACAGATTGCACGAGACAATTTCATTGGGTTGCTGTGTCTTTCGCGACTTTACGTTTTACAATTGAATTTCTTTTGATTTTGTTTTTCTTATTACATGCGAATTTAATCTTACCCAACTATTTACCTATTCCAATCTAATCAAGAAAAAGTATTAGTTTAAGGAACTTTTCAAGTAAGCAAAATAACAAAATACCTGAAGGTGTTGTGAAAGAGACACATTCACTCCACGGACCATCTCTTATGCTGTGAGAAACTAGCACTGACACACAGTAAGCAGTGTACAATTCTAATTCCATTATAATCCGGTTATAGTGGTCTGATTGAAACTTATAAACAATTTTTTCTCCCTGTTTCGAAAGTAATAGTTTCATTAGGTAAGTTTCTTTTCTGGACATGACGACGTAGAGTGGTAATTGCCAAGCTACCAGGGCTGATCGCATGGTTAAATAGGTAACAGAGATATTTATTGGTGGACCATCTACGGGACCTGTAAGAAACAAATCACGTCTAAAAGCTCTAATAGAATCCCTATCAGTGAAAACAGCATAAAAAGCCAATCACATGAAAAAAGGTCAATGCCATAGTTTATTGAGTAAAAGCGAAATGAATTATTGTCTATTATTTTGTCAGCTTGTAGTAAACAAGTACTAAAAAAAGTTTACCAAATTAATGTGATTTATCAGTGGTGAGCAGATAGAATATTTTCCGGTGCCAAATGCAGAGGAAAGTGAATTGCAAGACATTGCCAAGTGATGATACCTTGCGAAACGGCACGTTAACATTACATGCAAGCAGGCAAACAGAGTTTATTATTTGGGTTCGAAAATACTCAATAATTATTAAAGTAAATTATAATGATCATAAAAATTATCCCAGAATCCTTTGAGGGAACTTTTTTAAAAGCTTTATAACTTTGACAATTTTATACATAGAAGAATGTCAGACCACAACAACATAACATTTGCCATGAAATATCTTCCCATGTCACATCTAGGGTGATGACGTCATCAGTCACGGGACTATTTCCGGTTGCTGTGACAAGATGGCATTATTGGGTTAAAAATAAACAGTTTATTTGAGGTTTTGGTCGTGTGGGGCATTTAAAAATCATCAGTTGACGTCAGGGGGTAATGAACATGATGGAAAAAGTCGGGAGACTAGGGCGAGGGCTGTAGTAAGTTGACGTTTCATCACACGGTAGAGAAAATTTGCAGGAAAGTAATGTTCTACCTGATAATTTTTCTCTTTACTAAAAGAGGGACACGACGTCATAACTCACGTAATCAGAGCGTTTTGAATATTTTAGTTCGTTTTTTAAGTATATTTTTCGTCATAAATTGGCAAGTTTTTGTTGTTTTTCTCTGCAACTCTTTACACCGTATTACCTCTGAGTAATTATTATTCCATTTTCAAAGCAGAAGCAAACGAAAACGCTCTTGTTCCTGTTTACATAAAAAAGCTGAGAAAAGTACTCTTAGAGAATCTACACTGGATTCGTGCAATGAAAAAAGATCCCACCTTCAAAAAAGTGATGGAAACCCCAAAAGAGCTTGAAGATACAGAAGGATTTGATTGGTTGGAATCAACAGAACTAGCGATTGATAAGCTAAAAAACTTACTCAATCGATTATACGAAAAGCAGGCCCATTCCACAAGATCAAGACTAGTCCTACTGTGAATGTTTTAGAATTTTTTTTCCTCGACCTTCGTATTGTTCTGTTTCAATAAAAACTGTAAACAACCAGATTTTAAGTGTGTCTTATTGATGACTTCACAATCCTTACAACTTTTTGTCTATTTAGGATGTTACATGAAATTTATTATTCCAAACAAACTTGTTTCATTGATTTAGAACAAACAGGAAGACAATAAGGGTTCCTTATATTGTTAAGCGTAGCGATACAGTTTGATCTGCGTGCATCTTGTACAAAAGCCCTTGAATAGGTAGGTAACTGTTTATCGTTTTCAATCTCTTCACGTTCTTCGGGGGTGATCACATAACGTTGAAAAGGTACGTGTTTGCCTTCAATGCAAAACCTTCAAAACTCGGTTAATTTCGAGGTGATGCCCGTCCTCTCTTGCGTACTTGTAATACGCCTGGCGCAGCACGTCGTCTTTTTTCTAAACAAAGTGTAGCATCTGGGTCGTCTGGAGAGTCTTCTTTAATTTTTCGGACATAAACTTGCACGATTCCCATACTTCATGCATCCATTCTCTGTATCGAAACCCATGAAAGATGTTAGGACTTCCTAAACTGTTAAACTCGTTGTCACACATTTCAAAGTCTTCGTCATATTTGCGTGTATAATTGGTACTGGATTAATGCTTTCTGTTTAGCCTCTTGGAGTCGTTTTTTTTATCTCTTCATAAGGATGGAATCTTGTGACCTGTGGCTGAGGTGAATATACGAGAGCCGCTCCTTGATACCATGCGACATTGGCTGGTCTATCCACATAAAAAAGTTACACTCTTTTTTGTAACATGTCAGAAACATGCGATCCTGGCTCCAAGGCTGTTTACTTTTTCTCAGTGCAGGCTTGTTACAACAATCACAGACCAACTGAGCTGCATTTTGTTTCACATCAGAGTGTGCATAGTGCGTGATCCGCTCTACGTCCTCTTTTCATTCTGAAGCGGGGGCAAACATAAAGCACATTTTTTTTTCAGAGCAGTACACACAGCAAAATCCTTGCGCTTTTTCTACCATTTCCAACGTTGAATAGGGATGAAACGGGCAGAACTGTTCAGGTAAAGAACTCGCTTTATCTTCTGTCAACAGAGGTCAACAGAGGTGTAACGCTCGATTCGACTTGCATGTTTGAAGCGATGTTTTAAAGAATATTGGTAATAGTAAGACTTTATTTCCTTAGTAAAAGGATTTCAAGAACGATAGCGCTTTCAAAAACTGCCCGCTTTTAGTTGGAACACATAATAGATTCTACATGAACCAATCAGGTTTAAAAGAGCCCGGGCAAGTCTAGGCAAGCCTATTGTGCCTATTGTATAAGGAAGACCCTCATTAGTAATAATAATAATAATAATCATAATCATTTTTGGTAACTATAACACATACTATTTAATAAATACTTTTTAGAAGAGAGGAAAGCTTTGTCTGTCATTATCTGTCTATCGACATCTGCTATTTTATCAGCAGGAAAACGTGGACGCAGCGAGCACTCTGGCAGCCGGATTTTTTTCCGGCAATACGCACCACTAGTTGCATACCGCGGAGTATGCAATGGGTTTTACCTTTCTGATTAGTACTATTTCTGAAGGCGTTGGATAAAACATGATACCAAAACAGCTCAGCGAAGGCGAGCAAAGGAAATCTACGTAAGAAATCCGGGAAGACAAAATTCAAGTAAAAAATCGGAATTCAATTGGCGCAAGAGGGATAAATCCTACAAGTCATTAAAAATCAACAAAAAAACTGACCAACAAACAGAAGAACTGTTTAAAAAATTGCTTTAACAGAATTATTTAATAACTCCAATTTGCCATCAATTTGTCAGTCTCCCAAGGGGGCAGGCAGTCCGCCTGCCAGTATGACGTCACGTCTCGCGTCAGTGACTTTCAAAATGGCGAGCAAAGTGTTCATCGAAGAGACGGATAAATATTTCGATTTTATCACGGAAATACTGTTCCGATTTCTTGGATTTAGAGATTTTAAGGTTTCTCTTGTCATAGAAAACTAGACTTAAGTACTTTTTTGGAATGAAATGTCCAGTGGTGTAATGAATTTTAAAGATTCCTTTCTATCGTCGAGCAAATTTTACGGGCAATCATACCGATCGGTCACAATTTTGAGGGCCAGTGCACAGCAAGATTGAGGAGTTTAGACACAGCAATAGGAGGTTCATCAGAGGATGTATTATACTTTACATTATGCGTATTTTCAGCTCTCCAGAGCTAGTGGAACCCCATATCATTCCTCTCAAAGTTCGCTTAGCTGTAGCGTTGAAAGAGGAAGCTAAATGACAGGTATTTGTGACAGACTGTGAGCATTGAATCTTGTTGCGTTTCCTCATTTTAATACTGTATTGGGCATACACCTGTAATTCTGTAATTAATTCCCGAAAATCAAGAAAAGGTTTCGTTTAATTATTTTTTTGTGGCAAACCCAGTGGAGATTTTAGGGTAATAATATTGATGATTAGGAAGATGTACAAAAGGCAAGTTTAAATTTCGCCAGTGGGTCACTGATGGGTGTTGGGTGTAAACTAGTACAGTTTGTAGTGTACTGTGTGTTGTTTGTCATGATGTCAACTAACGTTGAGAGGAGGGACATGTCTTGACAGCTTATGGTTTTTCAGTCTGGTCGTAAGCTTGGCCAGTATGCAGATCACGGGCTTAAAATATATATTGATCCAAGTGCTTGACCAGCAGGGTCAGCAGTAAGAATAAAGAAAAAAAGGCCAAAGGGAAAAATAGTGTTTAAAAAAAATCGGCCAAGCAGAAAAAAAAAAGACGGTATAAAGAAACCGAAAACAGCGTCGCCGGGAGTCGAACCCGGTTTATCTGCACGTGCAAGCAACTCCTTGACCACTGCACCACAGTGACGCACATGAACTGTTAAATTTATTTTGTCATATCAAAACAATTTTTCGCGGCCATAGACGCTGTTTGAAGCTGGTGGAGCTGTATTTATCATGAATTCAAATATACATTAGAGGAAAATTAGCTTAAGCGCGTATTTCAGAGCTATTTCGCATTATTTCCGGTTCAACGGGCCCACTCGATGTAGATAATCGATCGAACTACAATCACGGACAAAAGTAGTTGGGAAGGTGGAATAAGTTAGCAACATTATTGCTCCATTTCATACGCCTTATGTCTATGTTAAAAAAAGATTATTTGTTCTTCTCCTGAATACCCCCCGCGCCCCCTATTCAATGTTGGGACATGTAACAACAATTACGCACAAAAACAATTTAGTTTTGTCCAACATTGATCCAGGGGCGGGGGGGGACAAGTACAAAAAAGGTAAAAATTGGTAACCTTCCCAACATTTTTGACGATGATTGTGTGAGAATAGACAATTGTCTTTGAACGCTTGTAAAACTTGTGGCTTTTAACATTTCGCTGAGATTTCTCACCCTGGAAATCTATTGATAATGTACTTTACGATGGGTATATAAAATGGAATAAAGCTTTAGTTTCGTTAAAATCACCATCATGAGATCCTTGTATCTCGCATGCGTGACATGTCAAAGCGTGACCACAAAATCCACTAGCATGTGTAGATTGTGTTTTTAAGAACGTCGGAAAAAAACCTTTATGTTCCTTACTTTCCGGCGATAGATTAAATGAAGTTTCCTTGTTTGGAGAAAGTGGAAAGAATCGCCATAGCTTGTCTGTTTCATTACATAAAATTAGAAGACATGAGAGCAATTAGTACTAAATGTCACACGTTTGTTGTTATGCATTTTTGCCTCTGTTCAGTTACACAGTTTCACTTTGTGTCATTTCAGTGAGTGCGATGATTTTAAAGACGAAACAAAGAGAAACAACTTGAAAAACAACTACAGTTAGCAGGAGGCTTAGGGACAATAAACGTTTTCGAGAAACACCAGAAAATTCTAGTTGCACACGTATGCGTGAAACCTGTGGGCCGAGAGGGGTGTGACATGAGTGCGGAATTTTCTAGACTGTATTCTCTTAGGCTCCGAATTCCCAAAACCTATATATAACAAGCTGTTGATTTTCCAATACAGAAATAAATAATTTCAATCTATTGATTACACCATGGTATTCAGAGGAAAAATACCTCCAGAGAAAAGAGCGTTAGCAATATTTTTACGCCAAGAATCTGGCCTGAGTTATCCGAAAATTGCTGAGAAATGTAACATTTCAACCTCCTCCGCCGAAAGAATTTGCAATGAGAATCTTTTTCAAAGACAAAACTCGGGCCACTCAAGGAAACGCGGTCGACGAAGAAAGATTTCACTCCGTATGAAGCGGTTATTGAAAAGAAACCTCTTGAAAATGAGGAGACAAGGTGTAGCCGTAACTGTGAAGAGACTTGTCACTTATAGTGGACTAAGCCTTCAAACCGCAAGTATTCGCACGTATTCCAGATGCTTAAATGAGATGGGTTTCTGGTTCTTACAAGCTAGAAAAAAGGGTCTTCTGAAAGAAAGTGACAAAAAAGACCGGCTTCAGTATGCAAGGAAAATGGCACGCTACGAACGAGATTTGCCAGGTTTTTGGACTGACGAAGTAGCTTTTTATTTAGATGGTGTGTCTTTCGTATACAAGACCAATCCCATGAGCACAGCAATGGCTCCAAAGGCAAGAGTATGGCGTCAAAAAAGCGAAGGCTTGCAAGTAACCAGCAAAGGCTCGAAAGATTTAGCGGGAGGAAAAAGGCTGCACGTAATGGTTGCAATAGCTTACGGAAAAGGAGTTATTCTGAAAGAGCCCTATGAGAAATTGAATGGCCAGTTCTTTGCTAATTTCATTAGGCAACATTTTAATTTATGTTTCGGACGTGCAGGGCCAAAACGAGATGGAAAACGTCTATTTGTTATGGATAACGATCCAAGTCAGGTGTCCAAATTAGCTATGAGTGCTCTAAGAGAAATTGAATGCCAACTTTCGAAGATACCTTCTCGCTCGCCAGACCTGAACCCATGTGAATCTATTTTTCATATTGTCAAAGATTCATTAGACGAAGAAGCGATTGAAAAACACATCAACAAAGAATCATTTGGCGACTTCAAAAACAGAGTGTTGCGCACATTTAGCGAGATGGATCCTGTTGTCATTGATAAAACCATAGAAAGTATGTCCAATAGAGTTCTATCAATTATTGAAGGAAAGGGTTGTCGAACCAAGTATTAAACAAACGTAAACAAGGTATTTTAATGGTAACATACTTCAGTTTTTACACTATATTATGTTTACATGTACTGACGATGTCATAAAGGGAATAATATAATAAATTGGAGCTTCCACAATTTACAGTGTGGTTATCTTTTCACGCTAATGGCGTCACCTGTCAATCATTAAGCTATTTTGAGAACAGTAAACCACAACGATTTTCACAATACTCCACCACATTACTCCATAAGAAAGTCCCAAATACATCACCAATGAACCAACATTCTTGCGAACAAAGTACAAAAATATGTAAACCGTATTAGAATATGTTCCATTTTTCCTTCAGTTTTCCACAGAAATAAATGTAACTAGTGATTTTCAACATTACTCCATTGAAACAGTGTCTAATAAAGGTCAATTAGTTAGGTCAAGTTTAATTTAAACGCTAGCTGCGGAGTAATGTGGTACTTTCCTTACCAAAACGCTAAAATGGCCCTTAAAAAGCATAGCACTAACTCCATTCAAAGTCCTGCACAATTCAATATAACTTTTTTCTCTTTGGAGCTACTATAAACGAAATAATTTCGGCTACTTAAATGGAGTAATGTGGCCTCTCATGTCTGCGCCTTTTGACTCATTGTGTAATCAGATTAGCGAAGACAATAGACGCGCGCTACTCTAAGTTATTTTAAAAGACTCTACTCAGTGATGTTGTCTAAAATGAGTTTCGAAAAGCAGTGACCACAAGGAATTAACTGGAGTTGTTCAGCTGGTGGAATTTGTCTCCAGAAGTGGAAAAATCTCCACCTTACGTTCATCATTTCAGTGTTTGCGTGGCAAACACTTCCCCCCTGTATGTAAACAATTGGCGCGTCTGATGTTGCGAAGATAGGGGTATCGTTGCTAAGCTCAATGTCCCGTTTCGAGAAATTTTTGGGAGCTGGTAAATGCACTATATCTCCCTCTAGCAACAGGAGCATGTCAGCCCACGCTATTATGGAGGGTTTCCACCGAAAATCATTCAACATAATAATTTCCGCCTCTTCTGCACCAACCCAGGCAAAAGTTCCAGTGGCGGGATTACAAAAAGTGCCATAAATGCTTTTCAATGGGGCGAGCACGAAACTTTTCCCGCAATTGGCAACTCCATGTATAAACAGGTTTCTGTACTTTCCTCTTCCTTTTTCCAGCAACATCAACACAGCTTGGGCGAAAACACTGACGCTGATTTCATTTCTATTGAGGAGGTTAACTGCCGCCTCTAGCCACTTCCCCTCACAGCTCGCAACGCATTCGGCAGAGTAGCTTTCGTGTAGAAGTTGCATGCGAGTCTTCTGTGACCTTTCATACTTCGCTTCCGCAGTTGCCAACTCCTGCGCGATAGCCAGACACTCATCTACTGCTTTTCCGCCCCTGTTACATATAAATTCCGCCAGCTCTGTCTTGCCTTCCCGATTTTGTGAAGCTGCTATAGACAGAAGCTGTAGCCGTGATTTTACGTTCTTAGCCTGGATAAACTGGGCAACCTCGTACACTGAAAGACCACGCTTTCGTTTCGTTTTCTTACCCCCAGTACGGCCAACTGCTTTTCTCTTGTTTCCTGAGATTGCCTTCTCAGTTCTCGGTGGACGCGCATTGCTTAGGTCTGGGTGACCCTCTGAGTGAACACAGAAGTCATCTTCCTTTGTGGTGTATTTGTACGCAGAGTAGTATGTGTTGTGTACGGCGCTAAAGTTCACCCTTATGCCGTAGCGGTCGTCTAAGAATTGGCGTACCTTCAGCCAGCGAGCACGTTTTTCCAGTTTCATTGCCATGTGATAATGGGAATTGCTCTCTGAAACACCTGCATCAGCGTGTAATTCTCGCGCAACAACCCACTGCACAACCTTAACACCCGTCATTTCCATCCACCCTAGTGAGACCTTTTCGGCAAATGCTTCTCTTGTCGCAACTTTTTCTACATCGGCTCTGCTATATGTCACAAGATACACAAGTCGCTGCTCACGGTTTCGCAAAGTATCATTTACCTCTGCCATTTTCGGGGTTGTTATCGTTGTCCGTAGACCTTTCAAACAGGCCAAAACAAATTATCTTTCGCATTACAAAACAATTTCGACTCCTCCCCTTCGCATAAATGACAACAGAACTTTAAACACGTGAAATACTTTACAGATATCACTCATTGAAGCTGTCCCGACAAAAACATAATCATAACAATGCATGCCCTTATGTTCCAAAAAATAATAATCATAACCTAATTGTATTAGCCATTTTATTTCGCCTGAAATGATAAAAACAACGCACAGTAACTCTTACTTTTCACGAGAGTACCAATTCTGTGTCTTTTTTAAAGACGTGCTTTACTATAGAAAGTCGTCGACTTTTGTTTCTTCATGACCACACCCAGAATTTCAAGACAATCACGGACAAAAGTAGTTGGGAAGCTTGACTGAATTTGGTAGAGAAGTAGGAGATAAACAGAGGCCCACACTCGAAAGGAATGATATGAAGTTAGGCCCGTTTAGTTAGCAAAAGAATAGATGAAATATAAACATTTGTAATCTGTGAATGGAACTTCCTATTCTGGAGACTAGACCTTGCCTATTTTAGAGAATTAATTAATTCTTGATGACCTTGCTGGTCCCATGAAATAGATGGCGATCCCGCAACACGGCCCGCAAAACAAATTAACAAAATTATGCGATCACGGACACAAAATATTAAAACGGTTTACACAAGCAGATTATAGCAACACCAAAGCTCACCCACATTCGATCGAATAAGCAATATATAGCGATATTTGCAAGCTTCTTAGCTTTTCCTCGACCTCGCTCGTCCAAATAACTGTCGTATCCCTTGCTAATTTGCACAAGCGACCCGAGACTCTTTCCCGTTGCTATGTGACGTCATACTGGCAGGCGGAGTGGGTCAAGAAACTTAGGTGGAAAACAATAGAGTTACCTTCCCCCTGGCCCTGCAGTTTCCTTAACTTCCCTCGGAAAAAAAAGCTAGTAATATTCCGTTCACTTGACCAAATTGCACGTAAAGGCATAAAACCTTGTACGTCATTCGAGAAAATTCTCAGCTATATTTATCTTAAAAAAGTATTACCAATCAATCACATTTTCCTCACAAAAACACACTTGACCAAGACCGCTAATCAACCTCTTGACATTATTTAGCAATTAATGAATTCGGCTTTCGTAGGATATGAAGAATTAAGCAGATCTCGGAGGGTGTTATCCACAGAGGCCTTATTATTCATTCAAAATAATTCCTAGTTTAAAGACATAGCTAAAACATGCTTGCCTGCATCGATGTTAAATTTATCTTCGATAGTGTACGTTTAGGTTTGTCCAGCTCCGCAATTATTCTCCAAATAGCAGATGTCGCCCTCCGAGTTGTCTTCTTGCTGATTTTTTTTTGCTATGTTTTTAGCCAAAATTTCGCCTAGTTCCAGCTGTAGTTCTTACTCTTGAAACGAGTGAAGTGTCCGCCATTTTAGTTTTCATAAATTTCCGCCATCTTTGTTTTCACCACGACAACAACTCAACCTCGTCCCCAGGTCTTCTCGGTTAACGGTGCATTAACCTGTAGAAAGCTGCATTTTTGACGTCATTTCCTCGTTAAACACAAAATTCTTCCAAATTTGGTCATCAGTAACTGGTTATGGTGAATCATGCGTGTGCTTTTAGCCAATCAGAATTGGGAAAACATTTTGAATAAATAATAATTTACATTTACTTTCCCAACATTCTACGCGCAAGTTCTTAAACTACCCACCTGTAAAATTATTGACCGGAATTCCATAAATCTCAATCCTTAAGCACGGATGAACACAAAACGATTCTGGCCAGATACGCACATACTGAGCCCTGGGCGCGAATCGAAATTCGCTTTTAACAATCCCATACGAATCCACGTTGCCTTGTAATATCTATAAGAACATTAGAGAAGTTTTTACCATTATTAACATTCGCGCACGTTGCATACCTACAGGCTGGTCAAAACGTCTTGAGGTGCTTGTAGAAATGAGACGTGAAAACGCACTTTGCCTGAACAAACTCGTATTTTACTTCTTATAAAAGCTTGAAAATGTTGTTGTAAGAGCCTTTTTCTGCTGTCCCCCTTTTCCCTCAGCAATGCTGACTTTGTTGAAAAAGACTTCAAGGCATAACGTCAACACTGCACGGGGGAGGGGGAGGGGAAGAGAAAATGTGTCATTTTGACCAGCTATTGCGTTAATTAGTGTCCCAAGAGGTTTGACCAGGCGGGGTTGCAGGTGTGTACTTCTTTTCATATGCACTTCATGCATGTACAGTTTTCCATTTTGCAAGAATTTTTTTGTAATCCAAAAGTTTAGTTTCAAAGTAAAACATTATGAGTTTGAAAATTTTTTTTGTTGTTAGCATGAGCTGGAGGTCATACGAGAAACGCCCTCCTCGAGCGAAAAAAAAAATTCAGCAGGTGGGCAGTGTATGCATTTTAAGCAGAATACGTCTGAGTTTTTATTAAATATTTGGATCATATTTTACCTCTCTATCTCCATTATTTTGCATATACCATTCCCAGCGTGTACCATTTGTTGATAGCTGTAGAAGGTATGTCGTCGTAAATGCACCAATCTTGTGAAATCCTTGTGTTGCTATAGCACAAATGCTGTGTAATGAGCTTAACGAGATCTCCAAATATTCCTGGGACGATTTTGTTTGTGGACACCAGGCTTCTTCTCCTGCTAACCGCGCTTTTGCTGGGTATTTATCAAGGAATGTTGAGGAAGCTGTTATGTTTTCATCAGGGAAGAGCCCATTTTCAAATCCGAGTGACGTGTCGTTGCATTTAAGATTTTCAGCTTGCTGATAAGCTGTCGATAAAGGAAAACCTTAGCCACTTAGCAAATAACGCTAAGCTTGAACCTTAAGGAGTCATACCATTTGCTGATTGTCTTCCCGAAAAGTTCACAGTCAGGACTACAGTCATCTGGACTATCTTAGTCTATTACAAATGGTAAACACTAGGCTTGGTGTTCTGTAGAACATGAACGAGAAGAAAAATACACGACAGCAATAACAACGACAGTGTCTTTGTAAACATGGACGAAGTTTGTTTTGCAACAGGCTCCGCAGAAAAATGTCAATAAATAAAATGTTTAAAAACGAATCAGCCCTTTAACTTTATAGTTTGAGATTTTATTCCCCCAAGAAATAGAAGAATGGATTAATGGAATTGAACTCATATATCGTGTTTTAAGTGACATAAATCAATTTTTTTCTTCTCTGTACGTAAGTCACTTACCTTTTCTTTCACATACAAAGTAATGAAGATGAAAGCAGTCATCTTGGTACCATTCGCTCATGTTTTCACATTCTTTATTGTTTGACACGCTGCCACAGATACCCACACACAAATCTGTACTATATTTTTTGTTTTTCCATCTATCAGTAAATGAAATATTTGAACCATCTGCCCAAGAATAGTTTAACGTGGTTTCATTCCATTCAGCGCCTATCCAAAAGAAACTACTGGCAAAGGAAGCGACGAGGTCATTTTCGTCTCTGTTTGCAATGGTCACCAACTGAGAATTTAAACTTGTGCATCTCTCTGTAGCATTCATCCAATTTGCCATCTCACTCGACAACAAGTAGCAGGAGGTCTGGTATTGCAACCAACCAACTGGACAAGCTAAAAAAGCAAAGCATTGACTTTATTTAAAACTGTCGCCTGCGAAACGCATATAGATTCGTCAGTCTGATTGATACACCCCTCCAGAGGCCTCTCCAGGAGTATTAACTAAAGGTGGCTGTACACAGTTTGATAGTTTATGGATTATTACAAACTTTCATTGGGTGTCATCTACTCCTCACACTTTTTTTTTACAAAGCTAATTTGCTGCATATTCCCTGATAATAATAAAGTTACAGGCATGCACAGTTTTTTAAAGGCCGATAGAGCATTTCCAGAAAAATTTTGTTCAGCCACCTTAAACATGGGATGGCTAATCCAGAAGACCCTTTGAAATTTTACTGATGCTACGAAAAAAAGAGAGAAAAAAGGCGAAAAAAATTAATTTATGGAAAGGATTCCAATTCCGAGGCTAAGGCTATATTCACATTTTACCAGATAGCTCTTGAGGCGACACGATAAACATACTGGATTTGGCTTCTATTTAAACACACAAAAAAAGCCACAGCGATTTCGGCGCAATTTCTGTACCAAAGCGATCTTCGAAATGCAGTATTAGGTGAGTTTCTGCCAGCCTTCGTCGCATTGTAAGGTAAAGGCGCACATGAGCCAAAGGCCCACACGGCCGGAGCTTATTTCCGGTTTCCGTAGCATGGAGCAAGCCTAGGAATATTGCTACTCCCTCCTGGACAGGATGCTAGTCCATCGCAGGGTTACCCCCCAGCGGTATGTCGCCGGTTACCCATTTATAAACCTGGGTGAAGAGAGACAAAGTGGAGTAAAGTTCCTTGTCTAAGGAAAAAGCACGACGGGCAGGCTTGAACCCCGGACCTCCAGATCCAGAGTTCCAGGTGTTAACCGCTCAGCCACACACGCCTCCACGTCGCATTGTGCGAACATATATTCGGACCGTGGTGCAGCAAAACCTCTCGGCCAACCGCTCCGGTGTTTTTTCTTCGATAAGAGTTCTGTGATGTTTCCGTTCATACTGTACTTAGATAGCTTTTCATGTCGGCACGAAAGGCTATTAGGTATAGTGTAGTCATAACCTTAGACTTTCGCGGTGTTTCCTTTCTTCATTGCGGCCGATACGAACTTATTATCACACACTTTTTATCACGTTTTGCCGGACTAGAAACTGCATCATTCAAATTTGATGTACACTCGACCCTCGTAAATTCAAAATGAAACTTAATAAGTTAACATTTAAAAATAGTAGTTTAACTTACACGTACAGGCTCTGCTCTCGTTAACAAGATAAGAAGAATTCAACTGACTGTATATAGGTGGAAAACGTTGACAATGTCGTTGTCGAGTTTGCCTCAGGGTCTGAATATTGCATGAACTCCACGATTCCCACATTCCTGGTGTGAATTCTCCAAGGATACCATCTGTAATTATTACAATTGAATTTAAAAATTGGTCTTAATGATTTTCCTTTGATAGCAGAACTTTTGAGGCAGATCTTTCTAAGCACCATTATATTCAGGGTAAACAGATTTCAGGGTAAATTAAACATTTGTTTAAGGGATCTCCTTGAATAACACATTGCTTCACTTTTCGCTCCCTGCAATTGCATTTGTGAAAAATGCAAAAAAAATGACTGATGAACGATCGTCTGCTCACATCTTTTTTAGCTACCTAAAATGCACACTAATCTCCAACGGCTTCTTAAATTTATACAACTGGGCCTACATTTCACTTAATTTCAAAGGTGTTTCAAGCAGGAATTTTATGCACGACAAAACTTAATTGATAAATTTTGGTTTGCATCAATTTCTTTTCCACAGAAAGAACTAGGTGTGGAGTGTATCTACCTGCTCGGTAAGCCACAAGGTAATTTTCAGGAAGGGGATCTCTCTTTGTGCCATTTGTTGAAATAAGGCTTATTCTGACGCCTTTATTCCTGGTCCCACCAACATGGAGAACGGCCACTTTGTAGAATATCCCCGCCGTCATATTAAAACCGGTCGTCCTGGAAAAATGTTTTGTGAGGCCACTTGACTAATGTTAGTAGGAATCATAATTTCAGAGTTTTAGTGTTTACGCATGTACATGTACTTGCATCATGAAGAGATTGAAATTATTACAACGAGTCTTTAATTAACATCTAAAGTGACAATAAAAATGCAGTTTCCTTGATATAAATTGTTTTCATGGTTTTACTTCTCGCGAGGTTTATAAATTTGGCACGCGCGTTGATCGCACAGCGAGGCAGAAACTCCAGTTGCCAATATTTCTATAGGTTTCTTGGATGTCCGCAGTTGACGTCATCCAGTTGTGGCGTCAGGGTGCATTTTGGAGTTGTTAGACAACGCTACTTCAAGTGCAAATACAAATGCTGTGGTGCACTATAATGTTTTATTCAAAAGTGCGTTTCATTTCGCCTTTTTACCGTCAAACCTTGCTTTTCCCTAAAATCTGTACCTTTGAATTCATGTTACACCGAGACAAACCAACAATGAATTGGTTCTTTCCCCGCTGAACTATGTGACCGATTGACCAAATCAAAGACTGGTTTTAGCTCCGTACATCCTCCGCTGTTGAACTCGAGAGTGAATTAAGACCGAAATAATGCAAAATGGCTTTGAAATACTCCTTTAAGCTAATTTTCCTCAAATGTATCTTCGAATTCATGATAAATACAGCTCCACCAGCTTCAAACAGCGTTCACGGCAGAGAAAAATGCTTTAAGTGTAATAATTTTAGCATATCAGTTATTGAGTGGCTGCGTCGCGCTTGTTAAGGTGATTCCCTAGTAAAAGAACCTAACATAGATTGTAGATGAAACTTGGTACACTGATGTCACAAGTCAAGAAGATGATAAAAAAGTAATAAAAAGTGGGGGTCATCGTGCTCGTTTTGACGTCACAATGCTGACAAATACGGCTATTTTGGACCCTTTGACAAAAACCGCGCGCAGCCCAAAACTATACAAAAAGGAAAGATTTTTTCAATGATGCATGTGGTATCGCACAGAATTTGACTTTAATGTATTGTTTATCCACTTATGTGCCATAAAAATGCCTTTTAATGCCCTTGTTTTTACTTTACGCTCCAAAGTAGAATTAAATTGGACACGCGCTATTCGACATGTGATAGCTCAATCCGTACAATTTAGTAAAATTGCCAAAAAACTGGACATAGATTTGTGCCAATTTTTTTCTCACCGAAAGGAAGCACTGTCCTTATTAAAACCATGAAATAAAAAATGGGGGTCACCGTACTCGTTTTTGCGGTAGAGCTGCAGAAAGTGCGCACCAAATGCATTTTCCTTGATTTTTGAGAGAGGACTGGAGCGAGTTTCAAAATAGAATGTATGTGAAAGGGGCAAGAAAGTATTAAAAAATCCGTTTTTACAGAATTTACATCGAGATATCACATTTAGGACACAATGTGATAAAGAAAGCGTTTAAATGAAAATCAAAGTGAATAAGCACAAATTAAACATCCACTATCGAGGTTCTCCGTGAGGAAGTCGAACGCAGCAACACGCGTACTGCTTACGCTATGCACATTCCTAACACATTGAGTCTCACCTCGGCAAGAAACAACCGCAAGCAAAAATTGCAATAGCGTTGCTCTTCGGTCAACTTCATTTTAATAATGTTACTTCACATGCTCTTTTTTTACGGAGGCCATCTTGTTATGCGCAGTAAGAGATGCGCAATGCAAAACCAGGGAATCACCTTAAGGTAATTTCCATTATAGGAGATTTGGAGGGAGCGAGTTCAAATCCCGGCCAAGCCATATTTTGTACATTCTTTTCTTTTTACTTTTGTGATCATTTTTTTCCCTGGGGCTTGTTTCCCTTTATTATCACTGCTGATCCTTTTATAATTCGCGAGGCTTTTGCGATAACGTCTTTCTAGTGTAATTTTTACCATCGAATTGGTGGTATGTTGTTGGCATCCTCCAAATACGGCAAGCGCCAGTATCTTGTGAAGAATTTGCAGGGATTGGAACCAATAAGAAAGGGTGAATATATTGTCAATGAATAATAGAGCCTATTTATCACGCTTCGCTTTTACAACGAACTGGGGACGGTTTGTTAAGAAACCTGAATTTAAGTCAGTTCAGAAGGCCAAATAAAATCCCGAAAAGCGGCTAGCTGTAGTCCAAAGTTTAAGAGAATGGAAGCAAAACCTCTCTAAGTGAGTTGTCTGTCAAACAATAATGTTGTTTACATGACTGTAAAGGGCCTTGAACATAGGATAAGAGCGCTATAGAAATAAAGTTATTATTATTATTATTATTATTATTATTATTATTATTGTTATAGAATTCTACTTTCAAGAACCTCTATCGTGATATTTTTGGTCATCATGGAAGTAGTTTAATAATGTTCAACTTGATCCGGTTAGACTCAAAACTTTAGAAAAACTAAAACTGAAGCTCCAAGTTATTTAGTCTTGGTCATAGTAAGCCATTTAGGAATTAAAAACAACTTATGAATTGAAAATTGGAAATTTTAATGAAAAAAGTTGCCATATTAAGAAAACGTTTTTATTCACTGAAACCATGGCTAGCTCAGCAATTTTAACTTCACATCCCCTTACATGCGCAGAGGACGAATTTTTTTACAAGTTGATGGCGTTATTGTTAAAGGTGATAGAGATATTCGTAGCCTTGATTTTTATGTTACTTATTAGTTGTGGATTTTTGATATGTATTTATAATTCTAATTTGTCTAGCTTTTAAGTGGGAAACCCAGAGGAAATCGAGCAATAAATTGTTCCATCTCATAAACACGGTATTAAAAAGATATCATATAATTCCTAGGTCGATATCCTACAATTCCTAAGTCCAAAGAAAATAAATAGCAACTTACAATATCTGGCATCTCATGAATGTATTGCCTCGTGGAGTATCTATGCGGATTACACAGACGTTGTGACAGGATAAATCGAAGTTGTAAAGTCCACTCTCTGGAACTGTAATGTACGCACGAAGCCGCTGACCACCTTGTGAAGCATTTAAAGTTGAGTTAAAACTTTTGAT